CCTCGCCTTGTTAAACAGGGCTGAGCCTCCGCCTCGTTAAACAAGAATGGAGCCTCTGCCTCGTAAAGCAGGACGGAGCCTCCGCCTCGTTAAACAAGGCGGAGCCTCCACCTCGTTAAACAAGAACGGAGCCTCCACCTCGTTAAACAAGAACGGAGCCTCCGCCTCATTAAACAGGGGCGGAGCCTCCACCTCATTAAACAGGGGCGGAGCCTCCACCTCATTAAACAAGAACGAAGCCTCTGCCTCATTAAACAGGGAGGAGCCTCCACCTCGTTAAACAGGGCGGAGCCTCCGTCTCGTTAAACAGGGGCGGAACCTCCATATCCAATTGTCCTCTTTCTGACTTAACTTTGTTAGATTTTTCTTCCTGGATTATTGAGCAGCAGGATATTTAATCCTATATTTATCTTTTCTAAAAATATGACAAAATGAATTGGTTTGAAACGGTTCATCAAAAGTGTGATTGTCTTCTGCAGAACTATGATTTTTGTTTGGTAGGTGTGGCAAAAATGACTTAATTGTGACGGTTGCAGACCCCTGGTTTGTGTGTGTGTTTTCTGGTGGAAGTGGCTCATGGTAGCATCTCACTGAGCTGAGACTAGTTGGCACACAGCGTTCACCAGGGACTCTCCAAAATGTCTCAAAACCGTCTCAACAGATTCTCAGTTTCCTCCCTCGTCTCCGATCTTCACAGTCCTGACGCCTGAATTCTGAACCTGTTCAAAAAAGTTTTGCGACTCATTTCTCTCCAATTAGTCACAGAGTCATCACGGACGCCTCGAGTCTGAAATCCTCCTCTAAAGTTGTTCAGTAGACCAAAGTTACGGATTGCAAAGTATTGTGAACAATATAAGTAGTTTGGACAAGTTTACTACAGTAGCTTTCCAGATGTACAGATTTAAAATTCTGCGATGTGGGTTCACACTCCATGGAAATGAAGCTGAATCCACTGAAAACCACAAGGAAGTTTGAGCCTGAGAGGACGTTTAGGTGGAAATATTAGAGTGAATCTGCTGCTAAACGCCAAAGTTATGAGAACAAGAGAGGCAGCGGTCAGGAATCGATATCTGGGATGAAGCAGGCCGATGGAGTGCCAAAAAGACAGGACTAAGGATTTTAAAACACAAAACATCTAACTTAATGCAGTCTTTTTATCTGTATACTTCATTAAACTCTTACCAAAACATCAAACCTGTCGGACGTCTCCATCACAAACTGCTCTCCTTATGGACAGAACCATCGCTGACCTATTTTCAGGCACTTCGGCTGTTTTTGTATCTAAACAAACACGAGATATTTGGCATCTAGACACAAATTATTGTTGTAAATTTTTGATTTAAAGACGTTAACCATCAACATTTTACCCGTTTTATTGACTTTGCAATGAGTAGCTTTAAACCATAAAGTTGTGGGCAGCTGCCAAAGTGGGAACAAAGTGGGCTAAGGGTGGTACGAAGTGGGCTAATGGTGGTACGAAGTGAACTAATGGTGGTATGAAGTGGGCTAATGGTGGTATGAAGTGGGCTAAAGGTAGTATGAAGTGGGCTAAGGGTGATATGAAGTGGGCTAATGGTGGTATGAAGTGGGCTAATGGTGGTATGAAGTGGGCTAAGGGTAGTATGAAGTGGGCTAAGGGTGGTATGAAGTGGGCTAATGGTGGTATGAAGTGGGCTAAGGGTGATATGAAGTGGGCTAAGGGTGGTACGAAGTGAACTAATGGTGGTATGAAGTGGGCTAAGGGTAGTATGAAGTGGACTAATGGTGGTATGAAGTGGGCTAAGGGTGGTACGAAGTGGGCTAATGGTGGTACGAAGTGGGCTAAGGGTAGTATGAAGTGGGCTAAGGGTAGTATGAAGTGGGCTAAGGGTGGTATGAAGTAGGCTAAGGGTGGTATGAAGTAGGCTAAGGGTGGTACGAAGTGGGCTAACGGTGGTACGAAGTGGGCTAACGGTGGTACGAAGTAGGCTAATGGTGGTTTTGAATGGGCTAATGGTGGTATGAAGTGGGCTAATGGTGGTATGAAGTGGGC